AGGGAAAGACTACCTTTGTCTTGTCATAGTCCTTTTAGAAGAGAATAGAGCTGTAAGCTTAGATAAGACCTTCCAGATAAGTGTTTTGGAAAATCTATCCAGTTCCTTGTTGGAGAAGTAGAATGCATGAGTAAAGGAGAGACTAGTTTAGGATGGAGTGAAACATGAGGTATAAAGAAGAATTAATGTTGTAGATAGTGTTTTGGTAGTTAATATAGACGTTGATCAGATATGAGAGCTTTTAAGAACAAAATAGTATAGCTGGTGTTAGAACTATGTTGTATGTTTATGCTTCTGAAAAAGCACAAGGTTAGCAGTTCAGCCAGAAGAATGAGATAAGAGTCCATGCAGATGTGTTTTGAAGGTAGGTGTCATGGAGTTGCAGTCTGTACATCAAAGTGGATGTCTGTCAAAAATCTTGACCTTGGTAAGTTGGAAGATGAAATGGAAGAGTTGAGACTGAAAACCATATTTTGTAGGTAAAAGTAGACAAAAGCCTGTTGACCTTGCAGAATCAGTAAAAGTAGCACAGCTGCTGGCTGTGTAATGCACTTTGAGAGAGAAGTGACTCTAGCAGTGGATGATTAGAGTAATCTTTGTCAGGAGAGCAGAATGAGACTGGAATTATCTTCACAGACAGTGATGACTTTGCAGATGTGAGTGAAAGCTCTACTTCAAGGGATAGTTGCCATTTATCAGATTTCAGCATTAGCACACATCTTAATCCTCTGAATTATCTAATCTTGTCCTAGCACTTATTGAGAAATATTTAATTACTTGCATTGTTAATGATTTGTGAATATAATTACTGATTTGGTTAAAAACTTTGTGAAGGGACAGGTAGATCTGAAGTAGTACCTTTCCAGAAGTTGTTTCTTAAGACCATTTATGCCACTGCAGCAGCAGCATATAGACCTTGGAGGAGTAAGAATTTTGTGACTGCTTGAGAACTCTTACTGAAGTATGGGCAATGTTGCTTTAAGGGCATCCCTGTCTGCCATATTCATAAGATGTTGTCTGAATAGAAATTTTGCACCAGTTTGTTTATATGTCTTTTTTGGTGTTGCTACTTTCATGCCAAAGGAAGATAGGAACTAAATTAAAATTAAAAGGTTAAAAGCCCCAGCCAGTATAGTCTTTTAAAGTTAGTATAACACAATTATATGTGAAGTGTCCTTAGTTTATTTGCCTGTCCTATAAAAATTCCTCAAAAAGCTCAAGATTTTCCCGTCCTGGTAACGAGATACTGTTCTGTCATTCATATAAATGCGTCTTTAGAAAGTGTAAGTGATATTCTTAGCATTTAACTCTGTGTTTACTATGGGGGGAAAAAAGAATAGAATTCTTTGTTTCACTAAAATTGCAGAATTCTGCATGTTCAAAAGCAGTCGTGTCCCCTTCTGCGCTTTTTTGTCGTTACATTCCTTTTTCTCAAAATTCAGAGGTTTTATGTGCATTAGGTGGCTTTTTTTTTTCCTTTTCTTTATAGTTTCAGAATAGGTGTTTTTAAATACATTACACTCCTGTATGTCTGCTCAGTAGATATTTTTGAGGATGTTCCCATAGATGAGAATGTCATGTGCATTACAGTCACACGTACTGTGCTGGCCACATGAGTCTTTCAGGGAGGTGAAGCTTTTCCTCTGAATGTATTCACGTTACAGAACAAGATTTAAGAGTCCCTCTGGCAGGGAAGAGGCCACAAGCAGATTACCACATAGGATACGTAATGTGGCTACCTACCTAGCTCTGAATAGGTTTACCTCTGTTGTAGTCAGCTTATCTCTTGAAGTGGATAGATTTTTTTTTTTTTTTTTTTAATCTGTCATTATGTAAGGAGACTGTTATGTTAATTAATACAAACTGAATTAGAAACCTGCTGCTTTCTACTTCACTTACCCAAGGAGAGGCTTAATTATGTGTTGACCATTTGAGATGCAGCTCCAAATCTATGTATTTTCTTGTGTAGTTCTTGCCCTTGGTTCTTTTCAACAAACTTTGAAGTTACATGGGCATCTATAATCGTTAGTTTTATCAGTAGACAGTACTCAAAAAATACTGTACTATAAAACACAGACTGGGGAATGGTAGTTAGTTACAAGGGGAAGTTTGATCATTAACAGTACTGAATTTTATGTAGAGATGAAAAATTCTCAGAACTGGCAAAAGTTACATCAAATAAATGCTACTCAGGAATTTTTATGTACCATATTGCTTTCTGTATATTTTTATTTAAATTAGTAAATGTTGAAAATCAAGTATAGCACCCATTATCTGAAAGTCAGGCATGGCCGAACATCGATCTCTCTAATCTTGCCAAGGCATCTTTTCCCAGTTGTTTCCACTGTTATTTTGACTCTTTTGTGGAAGTGTTTCCATAGTTTTAGTTTTCTACCACATGATTGACTTGTAATGAGG